CTTTCGTCATGCCCCTAAAGACATTAGTGTCCGAGAGCTGAATAACTCCTATATTACTTGCTACTTCTAGTACATTGGCAATGTTAGGCTACAAGCTAGCACAAAGAGGAGTAAGCAGAGCAGCGCTATCTCCGCCCACGACTTAGAGGCGAATTGCTAATGAGCTATTGGAGCTCTGCAGAGGATGAAGCCCCTCCTATCGTTAATTTTTTTCCACTCAGCAAAACCAAAATTGCGCTTACTCCTCCTTCTACCGTGGTGACGTAAGCGCACTGAGTCACCTTGAAATTATTTTTTTTGCGGAATCTCGGAACAAGTGTTTGCGTTAGCGGATTGCAATGCTCGTAAGAAAGCTAATCACGATATTAGCTTTCATCATGCCCCTAAACACATTAGTGTCCTAGAGCTAATAACTCCTATATTACTTGCTACTTCTAGTACATCGGCAATGTTAGGCTACAAGCTAGCACAAAGAGGAGTGAGCAGAGCAGCGCTATCTCCGCCCACGACTTAGAGGCGAATTGCTAATGAGCTATTGGAGCTCTGCAGAGGATGAAGCCCCTCCTATCGTTAATTTTTTTCCACTCAGCAAAACCAAAATTGCGCTTACTCCTCCTTCTACCGTTCGTCTGAAGTAAGCGGAAGTAAGTGCGTTGTGTCGCCTTGAAATTAATCCGTGCAAAACAGTGACAATTTGAGCTTATAAACAAGTCCTCAAGGCAGAGAAAATTCCTCAATCGTTTTTTGTAATCGTGGTACTCAAGGAATCGTTTCAGCCCTTGTTAGGAGAATTTTCTTTAGCCAATCCCATCAGCCTTTAGAGTGGTGGAGCCATGCGACTCAAATACCATGGATGCGTTGGTGTTATTGCTGGAGCCGGGGGCCTCCGACAACCATCCTCAACCAAAAAACCTTGTACACATTTTTGACATCACTCAGGTCCCCAAAATATGTTCTACCATGGTATTTCCCTCCATATGTTCACCTTACATGTCTTGCCGTACATGGACTTTTCTTAGGGTCGACTAAATACCAGCAGAACGTTTGGAAATGTGGACCGCTATATATACTTGAACAGTCTCAGACCAATCTTTGTTACACTTGTGGCCTGCTGAAGCTGTAACCCAGATCTGCAATCAGTAAAGTTTGTCAAACTGACCATTCGTGTGGACCTTCCATTCTTTCAAGTGTGAACCTGCGCTAAGCAACCTTACAGCCCTTGAAATTTTTAACAAGTCAAGAAGTCGAGGTAGAAACAGGTCAAAACACTTTCACGATTACTCCTCTAACATAAATTTCTTGTCTGATGTGTGAGAGTGAGATCTCAACTATGTTTCTCTGGTTTTTCAGGAGTTCTGCAAAGACTCGGAATCCCACCTCACAGAGTTTGATCTGTATTCAATGCAGCTCTTGGATCGAAGCGTCCGCCGACCTGGTGTAAGCAACCGAGATTTATAGCCGGTGTATTTGTTGGCCCGGGTCTAATCCATAGGCTTTCCTCAGAATGGAGGCTTGTCAGATAGACCGTCATCCAGACAGACGTTTCTCAAGAAGCCTTGTCAAATTGCAGACACACAATCAGGCGTTTGCGCGCACACATACACACACTCCAAGTGAAATTCTTTCCCCAGCAAGGGGTCACATACCCAATCAGGTTTCACACAAACATATACACACACAAAGCAGTGTACTAGTTTGATACGGCGCTCCGAGTGTGATGACAGTATCAGGTCCTTGTGTGATTGAGGTGACGGAGGCAGAGACAGGATGGGGGCTGTCATCAAGCTGTGAGTGACAGGAAACTGAGGTGGGGGTGGGGGGAGTTGACAGCCGAGTTCATGGCATGCAGTCTATCCATCCCTCTGTCTGTCTATGTGTTTGTCTCCCCTCTCTATCTGTCTTTTTCTTATGCCTGCCAGTCTGCCTCAACCTTTCCTTCTTCTTTGTCCTGTCCGTCCATCTCTGCCTCTCTCTCTCTCTCTCACTTTCCAAACACACACTTTTTTTCCCTCCCTCCCCTGGATGATGGGTGGATGAATTTTGCCCTTTCTTCCCCGTGTCAGACACTGCATCAAGAAAAACAATAGGAGACCCATAAATAGGGTTTAGAGAACATGCACCCAATTTACTTTGGCGGTGGGAGGGTGTGTTTGTGTGTATGTGAGTGCACGGGGTGTAAGTCACTTTGACAGCCGCTGCAAATGAGGCAATATTGCAGGTATTGACTGACATGGTCAACCCCGGGCCCACTGCTCACTTGAAAAGAGTGGTAGTCGTAAATCACAAGTTGTATCAGCAATTGATGCTCCTGCTGCATGTGCAGAGGCTTCGGGTCTTAATTTAATGTTATTATAGCAGGTGATTTGCAACCTGTAAAGCAGAAAAGCAAGGCTAAATGTGAAGCACGGGTCAAGAAATCCTTAAAAAACAGAGGAGTCTGTGCTTGAATTTTCTGCTGGGTGTGAATAAAATCCCACAGGTTGCATCCACAATGAAGCTTTAATCAATAAAACCAGGGCTGAAAAAATAAAAGCCCCTGGATTTACGGGCGATTTCAGGGGAACCACCAATAAACCACACTGAACACCTTACTCAGTATTACTAACGGATCTCTGCAAGGGTCAGGTTTGGATCTCTTTCACAGCTGCTGGCTGTCATTGGTTAAATCTAGATCGTCCAGCAGTTAGATATCTAGATTTAATACCTCTCCGCTCAGGAAGTCTTGAGTTCAAAACTTCAGCAGGATGGGCTAAAAACTTAGTTGAACATCGATCAGAGCTGATAATGTTGACATGAACGTGAGAGTGAATTGGCAGCTTTATCATTTTAACCATTACCTTAAAACCAGCATCATAACTTGGGATTCTATCGCTGTGTCTCTCCATCCTTTATCCCTCTGACTCTGTGGTTGTGAGTGATAACTTGCGTTATTTATTGGTAGTACCATAGGCTGTATATAGAATGGACGTCGTCTGCCTCTTCGCTGTGTGAGGCCACTCCGAGAACAGCACCCTCTGGTGACGGGCTGCAGTATAGGTCATAAATCCTCCAGTAATCCTTATGGAGCTGTGGACAAACTTTGGAAATTAACCCTTAGAACTCCCAGCTATATTTTGCTATTTTTCGTCTGCCTGTTTTTTTGTTTGTTTATTTGTTTTTGTAAAAATCTATGTAGTAACTCTATCCTTTCAAGTACAGCAAATATATACACATCTTTTTTTCCAGGACAACCTCAGCTGTCAGATGCAAAAAATATGTAAAATGAATGTGACAGTAGATTCAGAACCATCACAGTCAACCAAAAAACAAAAACGGAAATTGATACCAACAGTACTTTGCTCAAAAACACATAAATCTACAGTGACCAAGCCTTTTCTCACCTGCACATCATTCTCTCAAGTCTTGGCTATCAGAAGAAGAAATATTGGTATTGGAACAAACACACAACATAAACTATTTACATATTTACACTAATTCTTCCAGGCGTTTTTTGCTATTTCCAGTTGTTTATGCCACTCCTTGAAGCAGTTCCTGTCTGGGATGAGACAGAGGGCCACATCATACTGCTCATAATCTCTTCTTTACTTGTTTCCAAACATTGAGGACCATTATTTCTTATTTTGCAGACAAGCAGGGAACTTTCTTGTCTCTTGTTGATCTTTGGTTGCCTCTTATTAGACACTACCGTCAAAGGAACAATAGAAGAAGAATATGAGACCGTGTAATTGGTTGAAAGTTTGACAGAAAAATATGTTTTCGAAACAGCTTGTCAAACCTGGAAGACATTAGTGACATTTAGCGATATCGATCTTTTTTTATCACAACAATATGATAAATAATCATGTTTCACCGATATATCACTGTGGATTTACCATCAAACTTCTTCAATCAAACACCTCCAGCAGACTTCTAAGTACATGTAGTTACTCTAAGATTGGTTTGTGCTCAAGTCCTCTTTTTTTCTATACAGATCCATTTTTAAAAGTTATTAGGGGGTTCATGTTTTCTATGATTGACACTTGATACAGCCAATGAAGATTGAGTAGTTCACCCGGGAAATCCGCTGTTTGGGCCGAGCGTCATCCGAGCGACTCTCAGCGACTCTCCCGTCGAATGGATACAACACTACTGCGAAATGTTGGTTTCAGGAAGTGGAGAAAAAAACCTGGAAATACTGAGAGCTTTTTGGCTTCAAATTTGTATCCTGGCAGAAGGCGGAAGAAAGTTGTCCATAGTATACACAGTCTATAGGTGGTACACTGTTGTGACCAAATATAAAATCTTCACCCCAAGTATGAGAAAATCTAACTTTCTTAGATATCCTTATTTCTGCAGGGATCGTGCCACATTGAGGATTTGTGAATTTGCAAAAAGCAGGATTGTACCTTTTGCCACGATGCAGAAAAAAAAAAAAAAACTCAAACGACTTACGCACGATAAGTCATAAAATAGCTCTGCGTTTGCATCACAGGCACCGTAGGAAACCTGCTTATCACGAAAATGTCTCTCCTGCTCTCTTTTTTCCCACCTTAGCTGCTAATTTTCACACAACACCCTCAATCTCAGCTCCAGAAAACAACTATTTATCAAAACACACACACACAAAAAAAACTGCACATGCAGGCTGAGCATGTCAAATCAGGTCGGCCACTCTCAGGTATCCCAGGAATAAACACTCTTCATAGGGTCTTCAATCATTTTTGTGTCCACTTTGCTTCCTCTCTTGTCCCCAACAAAGACTGTTAGATGAGGGTCATCTTTTCTGACAGCAAGGGCAGTCAGCCCCTCTGAGGCTGTTGTACTCCACTGCCTGAACAGTGCGCCGCTCATGCTGACCCTTTAGCTAGGAAACGGGTTCTTCTAAGTTTGCGCCCAGAGTACGCGCCAGGTTGTTAAATTTCTGATCTTTAAACACCGCTCAGCGTCCCCCTCTAATTTGCTGGTGTGCATGTGCAGGGAGAGGCGGCCTTGTCACGGCCCTGCCCTTTTAACATCTCCGCTTACACTTCTTTTGTTTTTCGTGCCAGCGGTGTAAACGTCCCACATTTAGCAGATCTGAAACCCTCCAACAGGACGGGTTCTGACCTTTGGATATAAATAACACCCCCAATTTGACTTGTGAACAGAGCCGATGCACGCTTCTCCACGCAGCCGTTGGTGGCTGGGCTAATTGCTTTTGTGTGCTTGTCTCGTCGGCTGCCAAGTCGCACTCTGCTGAGCCACGGACTTGGCCTGCGCATGAGAGAGAGTTGGACAACAGGGCTCTAAAATATGCCAACATCCATTTGACTGCTTGGCAGTAATACAAAGGGGACGCAGAACGGAGGGAGCGAACGAGGGAGGGAGAGGAAGGTGAAGCGTCAGTGGATGAGAAACTGACATAAGCAGAGGAAAAAGAGATGCAAGATAGTGAGAAAAGCAAAAACAGGGAAAAGTGGATAATATCCCCTCATCTGTTTGAGCCTTATTTTGGATCCTGATAGCCTGTGACTGAACAGCCTATCCTCTGCTGTGTAGTAAATTTACATAGAAATCAATACCTATTGACTTGCCATTAAATTTATTCCCCTTTCCCCTGAACTATTTTCCCTCTGCCCCCTCCCTTTTCTAATTCCTAATGATTGCCTTTCTGCTCAGCGGGGAATCTCCCAAAGCCTCGAAAATTTCCTCCTGCTGCTCGGTTCGCATCAGCTCCCCAGCAGCTCACCGAGCCGCCTGTCAGCCAAATCAGGCAGGAGATGAGTGACAGCATATCAAATCCCGATCTTTTAACCGGTTCTGGTTGGAGGAAGAAGAGAAAAGCTGATGAAAAGGGAAATCTCCCCGAAGGCTGTCTGTGGAGTCAAAACTCTTGGCATGCCGGCAGAGGTTGATTTGTGTGTGGATCTCCTCACAGGCTTGTATAATGGCTTTGACACTGAGCCTCCTCATTGTGACCATCAGTCGTAAGCCTCTGTGTTAGGTCATCTACCATATTTCCTTTCTGGCAGTAGTATTAAAAGTGTCAGTCTGGGACTGCCAAGCAAGAAGCGGTGATGTCCTCTCTGACATTTCCACTTGACAGTAAACACAACGCATCCACTTCAAAGTATTAAAGCCACTGAAAACCAAAATCTCAGCAGCCCTCGGAAGAATTTCATATAGGGACTCACGTAAAAAAAAAAAAAACGGCTCACCTCGAGCCAAGCAACGAGTACCGAGCATCATCTATGTTTGACGTAGATATGCGAAAAAGCTTCAAGTGGTCTCTTAATTTTTCTCCAGCTATGTAAAAAATATATTTTTCTTCACTGTTTCCAACAACTTTTTAAGAGACAGATCTAAAGCCTCAAGATGGCTTGAAGCTACAAACAGAAGAGAATAACTCTGGATCGTAAATACTGTACCATATCGCTCTAACGACGGTCTGTAGTTGCTCCCTGATGATCAATAATTGACTGAAGCATTATGGTTTTGTCTTGTGAACTGCTGGGCGTCTAAAGGATCTTTTGATTGTGCTGCTGCAGACGAGAATCTTCCCATCCATCCCAATTAATTGGCGATGGAGCTGAAGATTTGAAAAACTCCCCAAAGGTGGTAGTCGGCGAGGAAAAAAAAAATGCCGTCGAGCAGAACTTTGTCATCAATCGTTATTTTAATGAAAAGACCAGGCTACTGGGTACATCCTGCCTTTAAAAAAAACGCCATCTTTATCTGTAAAATAACTGCAGCTTTAATGAGCAGGATTCCAAAGGAGCGTAGAAAATATACCAACAAATTTGACAAGCGTCCGCGAGTCCCCTATTGATCGTCAGAGCCTTTCCGAGGGTGCCAGAGAGTTTTTAATTAAACACATCTTCTAGAAATTGGATGGTGGGAATATTGCTAATCAAACAGCTCACCAGGATCAACATGAGAGGGAGATGTCGATTTCGAAATCAAACATTGGAAGAGGTCACTGTAGAGGAGTGGTCTGCTGGCTCGAGGGTTTAGTTCCTCTGATGCAGTGTCGGTTTTCCCTCCATTGTCCTCCACATCATTACTCTCCATCCTCTGTCATTACTGTCAATGGGTGGGCTTTTCCTTTTTATGCAGCAATGTCACTTTGTGTGTCTGCTGCGCTTATTCCTAGAGTGGCTAAAAAGTTGTCGGTGACCTTAAAAGTGACGCATTGCAATGAGGAAGCCTGAGGGGGGTTTGTGACATTGGGAGGGTGGGTTTGCAAACAGATATCTGCCTCATTCAACGAAAGAAGAGGTAGACTCAGTAGGACAGGGCATTGGTACTTCTCTATCTGAGCGAAAACAGCCTTGGGATGAAATATTGGTCAGGCAGTATGTTGTCATTCTCACTTAGGTTCTTCATTATTGATACACCTATGATGGTATTTTCAACCATGAGAAAGAACCTGACAATAGCGGCAAAACTACTGCTCTTATACAGGCAGGAACTTAAAGGGATATTCTGGAGTAAAATTAATTCAGGGTCAAATACACCGTAACACCTAATAAGACATCCCTCTCGAGAGATGATTGTTGCTGACCGCTTGCTTCTCTAGTTATACCAACTTTAGTAATGACCGGACGATAGCAATACACAGCAGTCTGAGGAGCCACACACAAACCTCAACCAAAACGCCACTCTATAGCCACAAATAATGCTCAGAACAGCACCTAACTTCATCAACAGTACAAAGGCGGTCCCATTCATAGTACTAGCCACCAAACATCTTTTTAGCTTAGCCGGATTTCTTTAGCAAAGAGACTAAACACAACTCACCTACTCTCTTCCAGCAGCCGCTTGTTTGTAGCGAGACCTCAGGCCAGTCCATTACAGACTACAGTGGGGTGTCGCAGCTCAAGGAAGAACATTTATGATAATTTCTTCATGGAAATGCAATCAGACCAAGACGCTAAGGCAGAAGAACTACTGTGTCTGCAGTGCAAAATGATTAATATGAAGATTATGACTTCAAGAAAATGATAAAGAAATGATCATAAATGTTCTTCCTTGAGCTGCGTCACCCCGCAGCAGTCCGTAATGGACTGGCCTGACGTCTCACTGCAAACAAGCAGTTTCTGGAAGAGAGTGGGTGAGTTGTGTTTAGTCTCTTTACTAAAGAAATTAGGCAACATTAAAAATATGTTTGGTAGATAGTACTATAGCTGTGACGCTATATGTACTGTTGATGAAGTTAGGTGCTGTTCTGAGCATTATTTGTGGCTATAGAGTGGTGTTTTGGTTGAGGTTTGTTTAAGGCTTCTCAGACTAGAGAAGCAAGCAGTCAGCAACATTCATCTCTGGGGGGGTGTCTTACTCGGTGTTATGGTGTGTTTGACCCTAAATTATTTTTACACCAGAGTATCCCTTTAAAGTATCTTCAAACACTGAAATCTACAGAAATGGGACCAAAACCATAAGTATGGACATCAGGTTGAACTGGAAAATATCTAAAACTGCACCAAAGTAGAATCAAAACTTACTCGGGTGATAAATCTTCTAAGAAGTTCAAAAGTTTTCCCCTTTGGTTTTATCTCTGAGGGAGCTTTTGCAACCATGAAGTCAATCGCTGCCAGCAATTTGCTATATAACAGGTTAAAGCACTTTCCTATAGGCTGCACTTTCAAAACCACAGACGATATCCACTTCTCCTATACAATTTATGTGAAAAAAAAAACAGGAAATGTTGAAAGGCGGCATCAGACTGCTACTAAGTGACCACTTAACTCAGTAAGTTCAAGGTCCTGCAAAACCTCTGTCACAATGGAGCAGAAATACCAAGAATATATGAACCTAAGTAAGCTGGAGAAGTCATTTCTTCTTGTCAGATGTATTGTACAGTTGAAAATCCTTGCAGCTTTGTGTGGGTATCGCTTGGCCTCTTATTTCACTGCCTTTTAACAGATAGTGCGCATAGCCCACTACATTACTTCTGCTAATTCCCACCTGTAAAGAAGATTTACAAGATGTAGTGTGGGAGGACAGCAACAACAGCAATTCAACCCACCCAAACCACAAAGTGTTTGTCCCTCGCTGTCCAGCAAATGGCACTGCAGCATTTTGACACTGGAACAGATTTTATCCCCGGGCCACAAGACTGCTGGAGAGGAGTCTGAAAAGTGTATCTGAGTTCACATTGTCCAACTGCTACCTCCACAAATGTACACACTACAGCTCACCCACACTTCTGAGGTGGGCAGTGACCTTTGTAATGCAAAACTGACCTTCACTGAGTCTGTCTTCCACACTTGGATTGTTTGATGTGGAGTTGGTATAACAGTGATTTTTGGATTTTGTCGATTTGTACCTACCCTGGGTTTACAAGTGCATGGTATCCAGTCTGAAAGTAACACCTGTCTAAAGCTGCTTTTCACACAATTTCCAGGAGATGGGTTGTGCATCTGAGAGACAGGCTTTAAAATATCTTTCTACAGAGTCTTACATTGATACAGATAATCAGCTTAAATAACAAAAAATAGTAAGTATCAGCCCCAAAGCTAATACTGGTCTACTTTGACAGAAAGTGGCATTGTAGACAGAGGCAACTACGAAGTTAACTCTCACAGGCGATCATCAGAAAGAAATTCAAGCTACGACTCAGTACCTGGAAGTGTTTCAAGACAATAAGGGCCTGTTTCCACTCATGGCTTTTTTAGGTTTGCTTTGTTTTATGGTGTTTTATTTGATGTTTTTGCATTAGTTCTTATGTAGTTTGGAAATGAATTCGCAGGCCTCAACATGCTAGTGCTCGATCACATTGATTTGACCTTTTCCAAAGAGCGCTTGCTTGAGCACCATTATTTCTCTGAAGCTACCCCCGTCTGTTTTATATTTGCAGTCAATAAATGGAATTTACAATGAAAACATGCAATCCATGGATAGAGGTTGTGTTGTAGCATTAGCAGCAGCTCTGGACTTGTAAATATTGCCCTAAAAAAAACAAGTGTAGCAAGTTTCTACAGATCTCTGCCGCTGTTGTTGTTCTCAGCAGCTCCTCGCTTCAAATGATGCTGTTAGTGGACACAGGCCCTAAATCTATGAAGATTTTACGTCCCCTGTCCATTAATAGAGAACACAATTGCGCTTTTTAGCTTCTCTTTGCTATGGTTAATCCTTTTTTGCTGATGCACTATGCAGGCCCCAAAGATCGCATGGATTCGGCCTGTTTTCAGTGACGCTTGAATTCCCTTATTCCCTTCCAAAGTTACCTCGTCTATAAATCAACTCTAACAGGAATTCTCAAGTTCAGACTA